TCTCTCTCTTATCTCTGCTTCCCCTTCTCTATGTCTTTGTATATGTCAATTTCTTTCTTTCTTTCTTTTTCTATCTATCTATCTATCTATCTATCTATCTATCTATCTATCTATCTATCTATCTATCTATCTATCTATCTATCTACCAAATCTATCTAATCATGTATCATTCTCTCTTATCTCTCCTTCCCCTTTTCTGTCTTTCTATATATCAATCTCTATCTATCTATCTATCTATCTATCTATCTATCTATCTATCTATCTATCTTATGTATCTATCAGATCTCTCTCTCTTATCTCTGCTTCCCCTTCTCTATGTCTTTGTATATGTCAATTTCTTTCTTTCTTTCTTTCTTTCTATCTATCTATCTATCTATCTATCTATCTATCTATCTATCTATCTATCTATCTATCTATCGAATCTATCAAATCTATCTAATCATGTATCATTCTCTCTTATCTCTCCTTCCCCTTTTCTATGTCTTTCTATATGTCAATCTTTATATCTATCTATCTATCTGTCTGTCTGTCATCTATCTATATCATTTATCTATTTATCTCTCTATCTCTCTAATTTATTTATTATTTATCTATTTCTATCTATATCTATCATCTATCTATCTATCTCTTTCTCTCTCTCTCTGTCTCTCATCTATCTATCCAAATTTACATGAGGAATACATGGGTGGCTGGGGAATTCTGGGAGTTGTAGTCCATGCCCCTCCTCAGAAGTCTAGTCCAATTCCATCCTTTATTCCAAGAATAATCAAGAGTTGGACCTCTTCATGGAGCCATCCCCTGCTTTTCCTCTTTTCCTTTCAGAGTGCAGCAGAATGCAAGACACCTCCAGGAATAACAGCAAAACCACTCTGAACGCCTATGAAGAAATTTACGATTTGCCAGAAACTACGGTTTAAGCTGTGCCCTGCAGGGGGAAATTTTAGACTGTGCGAAGCCTTCAGGGGAGCAGATGCAAAGGGCAGGATGCACCCCGAGCTCAGCCAGACTAGCATCCAGATGGAAGGGGGGGGGACGGTTTAACCCCCATTCTATCACAAGAGTGTCGACCCAGAGTTGCAAACAGGGAGAATAAGGCTCCTAACCTAGATTGTCTCAACTTTGTGTGAAGACGTTGACTTCTTTCCTTGGCGGACGAGGGAAGGAAATACATTTCAGCTTTCAAGAGAAACCACAGTACAAAATCAGACCGCCACTGAGCACCTTGTGGGGGGGTGATGCTTCCTGGTGGATTGGGACCAGCTCTCCTCTTTGCTCTTTGGCAGGCGAGAGAGCAAGCAAAAGGGGAGGTCAGGATGAGCCCCAAGGCTCTCTCTCTCTCCTTCTCTCTCTCCTGCGTCTATGGTTAACAGTACTCTGCCCGGAGGTGACTTCAAGCCAATTTTGGCTAATCTTGGAAATGAACCAAGATCGATCCTGGTTTGTGCACAGATGGAAAGAAGGAGCCTTCGGGGGGGGGAAAACATCTGGAGGGTGGAGATGGCAAAAGTTTTTGCCGCACCCGGATTCCTAAGGACACTTCCTGGATGAGTGTGTTCCGGGAGTTTGTGTATTCACCTTGAAAAGAAACATCACTTTTTTTACACGGTAAATTTGGGGAGGTGACATTTTGGGGGCATTTTTGTACACTTTGTGTGTGTCTGTGTGTGTGTGAGAGGGGGGGGGTGGGAGGAGCGAGAAAGAGAAAGGAGAAAGAGAAAAAGAGAAAGAGAAAGAAAGTGGATACTGTGTATGTGTGAGAGAGAGAGAGAAAGAGAAAGAAACAAAAAGCATACACTGTGTGAGAGAGAGAGAGAAAGAAAAAAAGAGATAAAAAGAAAGAGAGAAAGAAAAAGAAAAGAAAGTGTACCTTTGTGTGTGTGAGAGAGAAAGAAAGAAAAGGAGAGAAGAGAGGGTGAAAAAGAGATAAAGAGTAAAAGAAAAGAGAAAAAAAGAAAAAGAGAGAAATAAAGAGATGTATGCATCTGCAAAGAATATTCTTGAATTCCAAGTATATGCAGTATTTATTCAAGTATTTCTTGTTTGTTTTGTAAGTGAAGTTTTGTGAGCGTTGCCAGAGAGAGCCAATCGCTGCTTTTTGATCTGCACTTTACAGCCAGATGTGCAATTGGGCAAAAATCTCCCTGCGGAAAAGCGAGAGAGACCCACATGTGGCATTCGTCATTTTTCCAAACCTGATGATTTTATCCAGGGATTTATCAGACCCGGGATTTGTGTTTCAATATATATATATATACATATATAATTTATTGCAAATAAGAGAAATAAAGTCAATTGTTTTATAAGCACGACTATCTCCCTAAGTGTGCAATTCTGTGACGGCCAAGGAAAGAACCATCCTTCTCACTCGGAGGAGAAATTTTCACTCTTACAGAAAGTCCTCAACTTACGACCATAATGAAGCTTGCTCATTGGATTTGGGATGGACATAAAACGGGTCATCCATCCAATTTGATGAATTTTTTTTTTTTTTGCAACGGTTGTTAAAACAAATCGATGGTTCATTATCAGCCAGTTTGACCGAAAACTGGAAGTTTACCTCAGTTTTTGGCAAAAAACAAAAAAAAAATATTGTAAAATGCAGTCATGTGGGATGGTGGCCCAAAATGAGGTCATGTGACTATGCAGGGGAGGAATGGAATACCCTGGAGTCCATCATAAGCTCAAAGGGTTGCTAAGCAACTGGCCATAAGTCAAGGATTTCCCGTGTCTGGTTTTTCCGATCTAAAGTATCTTCTAGATTCAGTGCCCTGATTGAAACTAGAGTGGCTTAAAATGTCAGTTTTATAACATTTCTTTATCAGAAATATTTGATAAATAACGTGGTGTAGGGTTTCTTGCCTAAGCAAGCGGGTGGACTAGAAGACCTCTACGGTCCCTTCCAACTCTGCTATTCTATTCTATTCTATTCTATTCCATTCCATTCACATTTATATATCCAGGTTCAAAACATTTATAACATTTCTTTATCCCAGTTCTTCCTTGTTTTCTTCAAGCAATTTTTCTTCTCACACATAAATTCTGAACTACAGGTATTCCTTGACTTATGACTACAATTGAGCCCCCAATTTTGAGACAGTTGTTAAGTGAGTTTTGCACCGTTTTATGACTTGTCTTGCCACGGTTGTTAAATGAATTGTGGCAGTTGTTCCATCAGTAACACGGTTGTTAAGTGAATCTGGCTTCCCCATTGACTTTGCTGGTCAGGTGGTCGCTAGATCCCGGGGACCCTACGGCCGTCATAAATATGAGACAGTTGCCAAACGTCCGAAGTTGCTGCAACGGTTGGAAGTGTGAAAAAAAGTCACTTTTTTTCAGTGCCGTTGTGAGTTTGAACAGTCACAAAATGAATGTATGTATTTATGACCTTTTGCGACCTTCTGACAAGGAAAGTCAACGGGGAATCGAGATTCACTTAACAACGGTGTTGCTAACTTAACTGCAGCGATTCACTTAACAAGAAAAGTCGTAAAATGGGACAAAACTCATTTTAACAACTCTGTGTGGCTCAGCAGAATTGGGCTCAATTGTTGCTGTAAGTCGAGAATTATCAGCAGCCTCAAAACCATTTAAAACCATTTAAAAGTATCATTAAAAACAGCAACTGTAAAGTGCATAAAAAATTATAATTGTTTTCTGAGTAAGTGCTTTCTATTTCTTACAACCCGGGGTGGGATTCTGCCGGTTCGGACCAGTTGAGGCGAACCAGTAGTTCCAGTGAGCATTTCTGTGCTTTATTTCATTTTTTTTAGAGCAGAGGTCTCCAAACTTGGCAACTTTTAAGACTTGTGGACTTCAACTCCCAGAATTCCACAGTCATCTGGTTAAGGAATTCTGGGACTTGAAGTCCACAAGTCTTCAAGTTGCCAAGTTTGAGGACCCCTGTTTTAGAGCATAGCTGATTCGCGCGGCAGTAGAAGGTAAGTATTAGAGCTGAAAATTGGCTTTTTAAAAATGCTACACCCACACGAAGCGTGCACTCACCAAACCGGTTCTTACACTGGTTGAATCGCACCACGGCTTACAACAATAAATTGAATTTTCGGTCTAGGAGCTAGGACGAGAAATATTTGCAGGCACTTTAGAGGAAGTTTAAAGAGACTTGGAGCCCTTTTGCGCTCAATTTTTCTTTTGCCGTCGTTACGAAGGCTTGTTGCTTTTCGTAGTAGGCGGCCTCGTTCACAAAGGTTGGGTATACCGTCGCCTCTCCGTCGTACGCGATGGCCTTTCCTTCCAGAGTCAAAAATATGGGATCACCCGGATTTAGCGGCTGCCAATCTCGATCCTACGGGACAGAAAGAAGATAATCTTGCAAAATAACAATAGTGCCAACCATTTGGATAAGGCTGTTTAAAGGAAGCCTAAAGTACATCTCAAGGGGTATCATTGAACGACAATAAACAGCTCATACGAACAAGCCAAGCTTCATCGGGCACTGAGTTTTAAACACGCTTAAGATAAATGCGTGTCCATCATCTGACAAAAATTAAACTTAAAAATAAATAAAATACTAGCTGGATACCTGTGCTTCGCTACGGAACTATGTGATCGGGCTTAGTTTTTGGGGAGGAAAATAAGGGGGGGGGGAGAAATTCTGCCTCTGCCTACCAGCATCCATCGGTATTCATCTGGCTTGTGTCCTGTCAGTGTGTGAGAGAGTTGAGGGCTGTTTGGAAACCAAAAGAGTATTTTCTGTGTGAGCAAGAAGGAGACAGCAAGGAGCCTGGGCGTGGCTTAGCTCAACTGTCCTGTACTAAAGCTGCTTGGTGCTGTGAAACTGAAACTCTTCTGCTTGCGTTTTGCATTTGGAAGATAGTAACTTAACAACTGCAGTGATTCACTTAACAGATGTGGCAAGAAATGTCATAAAATGGGGCAAAACTCAGTCTTGCTCGGCTACAGACGTTTTGGACTCAGTTGTGGCCGTAAGTCGAGGACTACCTGTACAATACACATTAGATTTCCCACCACTGCTGTTAAAAAGAGAAGAAGAATCACACGTGTTTACCTGTAAATTTGGGTGAATGACAGCCATAATCTCATTTCTTGGGTTCCTGGGATAATCAACTTTCTCCAATAGTTTATAGATCTCAATGGTACATGGAGGGAATTCTTGTCCTACAGAGAAAAAAGTACATTATCTTCAAGTGTTCAGGCCAAACAACTGACCTTGTTTTAGAGATGCCATTGTTGATAATGTTTTCAGCCACTACAATGGACTATTGTAGATTACCGCTGCACCATAGAGAGTATCTTAACTTACTGCACCTGTGAAGGGTTTGCCAGTTGCACCAGGGCAGATAGGAAAGCACTCCAGAGGGTTAACGTCATTGCCCAGAGGATCATGGGTTGCCCTCTCCCCTCTTTGGAAGAGCTTTATAGCTCCCGCTGCCTTAAGAAAGTTCAAAACATTCTCAAAGATCCATCTCATCCAGGGCAACCCCTTTTTTTTTCAACTATTACCATCTGGCAGCCGGTACAGGATAATAAAAAAAGGACAAATAGGCTGAAAAACAGCTTCTATCCCAGGGCAGTAGCTCTTTTGAATTTTACTGTATGGTGCAATATGAATGCAGTATCAAGGGTTTTCCATTCAATGTGTGGAGTGTGAAGGATGTGTGGTTGTGTTTATTTTCATGGTTGCGATGTGCACCGAAGATGCTGTTCGATTTCATTGTACAAGGTGCAATGACAATAAACCAAACTAAACTAAACTAAACTAAACTTATTTGCTAAAGCAAACTAAGTCTGTAAGTTGCAATTAGATCTGATGATTTGGAAACGTCTCAATAAACACTTTTTCTTACAGTTGGGATGCTGAAAGGTGAAATTTTCATGGTGCCACTTATAAACTTCTGCATTGTGCATACAATATATTTTTTAAAAAAAAAAAACTTTGATTTGCATCGGATGAACTTTAGAAATTAGATTTTTTTTATTCTCAGTTTGTCATAAAAGGTTAGAAGTTGATGTCATGGAGCTAAAAACCCATAAGAAATATTTATGTTTAGCAATAATTTTCCAGAAAGGAACATTTTATATTGTCTGAGACAATTCAACTGCTCTTTGACAGGTAGATTAAAAAAAAAACCTGTATCGGAGTTCCGGTTTGTCGGCTTCGCGAGCGGCAGGGATTTGCGAAGCTGCGCGATCCCTGCCGCGCTAGCCGTTTTTGGGGCTCCGACCCAGACGGGTATGGAGCTAGGCTGCCCTGCAGGGGCAGCTGAAGGTAGGGGGGATCCGGAGAAGGGTTTGGGGGTGTTGCAGACCCCCTCCCCGGCCGGCAGAACCCCCTTTTCCCAGGACGGTGCAGCGGCGGTCCGTAATGGCCGCCACAAAGAAGCTGGCAGCCGGGTAAGAATGCGCAGGAGGAAGTGGAGAAAGTGCTTGAGAGGAGAAAGTTTTTCTTGGTTCCTAGGACTCTAAGACATATTTAACAAAATTCCTGAAAAGCATGACTTTCTGAATGATACCTTCGAGAAGAGGAAAAAAGCGGCAGTTTAATGGTGCTGAAAGGATAGCTTACCCTCTTTTTTTACGGAATAAAAAGTGAACATTAAGAAACCTATTTTTTTTAGGTGAAAACTGGCTCTAAGCGGTGAGTGGCAAAAGAGGGGACTTAAAAAAAAATATTTGTATGCTAAGACTTTGTTGGAGGAGATGCCTTAAGGATTGAAAGACTAAAATATATTGTAATAAGACTTTAAGAAACAGATTTGGACTTTCCTTTTCTTTAATTGATACTACCCCAGGAGGAGAGAGTGGGAACTCTGTCTTGGTTTGGACTGACTGAGAACTTTGGGATTGTCTTATTTTTCCTTTGGAATATTCTGGCTGTTGTAAGAGAAAAGAAAAGATTTATAATGGCTTCTTCTATCGAGGAACTGAGAAAAGACTATGAGCAAGCAAAACAAAATGGTAAAGCTGGTTTGAAAGAAGCTTTCCTTTTTTTAGAAATGGCGCTTATTAATTATCAACAAACATTACAACAGATGAAGACAGCAGAAGAAGAACAAAGAAAGGAAGCCATCTTTAATAAATCTCAGAACTCGACCAAGAGGGAAGGAAGAGGAAAAAGAAGAGAAATAAAGGACTTAAGATTTAAAAAAACATTTAAGAAAGGGAAAAACAAAGTGCAAAATCAATATAAGGATGGTAAACAAAAGGGAAGAGGAATGCGACAGAGAAGGGAAGCCAGTAAGGCAGAGGCTAGAAGAAGGGGGGCTAGAAGGGGGGCTAGAAAGGTTTGTTGGGGGAAGAAAGAAAGGGAAAAGGTGGAGAAAAGTTACAAAGTTTTGAAATTAAATGAGAAAAAAGAAATTTTTTTTAGAGATAAAGGATAAGTATAATTTCTTCAAAGAGATTTTGCAAGGTACATAAGATGATATTGTAGTATTGTATCAGAAATAGAAAATTTAAATGGCTTGAGAGTTGATAAGAGATTAAAATGTTGGAATGTTAATAATGATTGGTTTGAAAATATAATATGAGGGGAGATTTAGAATATTAAACTTTAATTAAAGAGTTTATTAAGATTATGGTATTGATGTTATTATAAAACCTTCATTATAGTATTTTGTTTTTAATATTTTAATCTATTGTTTAACTATGTATTTAATTGTTTTAGATGTATTATTCAGTTAGAATGTACCAAGCAAAATCGGATTGGGTATTTTAAAGATTAATTTGATTAATTTAGTGGGGAGATAGAAAGGCATCATACTCTGATTAGTGATTTCAGGAGAAATTTCTTTCTTTTTAAAAGGAATGAGACAAAGGTATAATAGAGAATGGACAAAAGATATAAATATAATGACTCAAATTAAGATGATTAATTAAGATAGAATCAAGAAGAGTGAAATATGTGGAGAAGTTAATATAGAAGACTTAGAATGGTAAATAAAATAAGTAATGATATGTAAGATGAGCCTGAATATAATTGAAGTCCATGAAAAGAGAGATACCTGGGTCCAAGTTACTTTCCAAAAAGATCTTTTATATGTTTTGTGTGTTGTGTGATTATGTTGTTTTTTTGGGGGGAAAATTAATAAAACCTTGTAGAAATACAGAATGAGAATAATGGTAACTAAGTCAGAAAGAAGCAGATGAAATAATAATAATAAAATAAAAAGAGTGAAGAGAAATAAAGGGAAATTGGATAAGAGGTTTTTGTATGTTTATATGGAAATGGTTTAAAATAGAATTATAGTTTACCTGACTTGTTAAATTTACAATGGAAAAAGGTTTAAACATGTAATGGAAAATGATGACTTGTGTGTTTTGAAAATTAATAAAACTTGTTTAAATAAAATAAAAAAAACCTGTATCATTTATATTTGTCTGAAGTGGTGTATGGTTTCCTCCCTAAGCAGGGGGTTGGACGAGAAGACCTTTAAGGTCCCTTCCAACTCTGCTATTCTATTCTATTCTATTCTATTCT